ATTACTATCACCCCAGAAAGTTTCAGCAGACAACACTAAATGTCAGTGAAAGATACATGGTAACAAACGCACCCAGGTACAGTAAGATCCCAGCGGTGCTAAACACACAACACATATTAAAACGTGAGTTAAACTGTCAGTGGTTGCATCTGTAGGAAATTAGGTGACCAGGGGCTTTCACTCTACCTTATATACCTTATTGTTTTATATATATATACACATATATATATATTTACTTCTTTATATTTATATATATTTGACATATCTATGTTTGATATTATCTCTATCTCTATATATTTGATATTATATATCTCTATATAATTTGAAATTTATATATCTATATATTTGATATTTACATGATATATAAATATATAAATATATAAGATATATAAATATATATATATATTTAGACAGAGTCTCATGCTGTTGCCCAGGCTGGAGTACAGTAGTACAATCACAGCTCGCTGGGCTAAAGCGATCCTCCCATCTCAGCCTCCCAAGTAGCTGGAACTACAGGCATGCATGTTTAGCTCATTCTTTATTTTGTAGAGATAGGGTCTGTGTTGCCCAGGCTGATCTTGAACTCTTGGCCTTAAGCAATCCTTGGCCTCCCAAAGCACTGGGATGACAGGCATGAGCCACCACACCTGGCCCTATTGTTTGATTTCTGAATAAGCATATTTTTCTCTTATCACAAATAAAAGTCATTAACATGTTTTCAAATGAAATAACAAATCAGTCAATTTCTTGACCTTGGAGTAGAACTTGGTTCAATTAAAATAAAGTGGTTTTAACTAGTATAGATGTACATTGTACATTTGTGCTAATAAACAAAGATGGCAAAGTATGTGTCCCATATTTAGACAACCCTGGAAAAAGTTTATTTTGGACCAAAGGGTGACATCACCCATTCAGATGCAAGTCTTAGCAGATATTTGATCATTTCAAACTATAGTTCTTGAGTTGAGGAGGTCCCTCAGGCAAAGACTGTTGTTAATCCATTTTTCCATTTAGATGTATACAGTTGATAACAGATCAAATTTCAGAAAGGGCAGCTTTGAGTTATTCCTAAATTTTCCATAAGAAAAATCTATTGTAAGTCATAATATGTTTCTGTGTTTTCCCACAGATACCATACAGCTAAGGGGGAGTTCCCAACTTAATTTCAACAATAGATAGTCAGATAAAACAACATAGTCCCCAAAGAAGAACTTCCATTTTTTTCCCCCAAATTGGGGGTGGTAAAAGACAGGTTATGTTCTTTGTGAATAGAATTCCAAAGTTTCATCTTTGTCCAATACCAGATCTTCAATCTTTCTAAAAAGAAAAAAGAACTCTTAAAAACGTCTTAACTCTTAAATACTAAAACTATTTCATGTCTACTCCAGGGACTAACTTAGTCCCATATTTGCCAACAAAGACATACTCATCTCTGTTTATTTTGGTACTTGTATAAATCTTCTTAGTAGCTGCTTCCAGTGAATATTGAGGGAAAAACTCTCTTAATGGAAAGCTATGAGAAACATCTATTTGACTAGAAGTATGCACTCTGGAAGTCAATGTTGGTAAAGCAAGGGGAGAGATGTGGTTTTGTTACCAAAACACCGATTATATTTGACTCTGTCTCCAACAATGGACAATAACATTAGCTCAGTAAGACACCATGACCAAGACCAAACGTATTTTGTAAATGGAGAGGCCATACATCAAAAGGACAGCAAGAAGAAGAAAGTAGGTTTTAAATGATTCAACAATTTGCCCTGTCCTCAGTGGTTTCCCTGAAGCCCTTCAGAAGTAACAGAAGGCAAGAACACAGCAAAATGAGGGAAGTATTAAAGATCCTTGAGCATCCTAACCTCAGATCCAACCGTGAAAGCTCCTAGGAAATTCATCCTCCAGGCCGGGGGTAGTAGCTCACACCTGTAATTCCAGCACTCTGGGACGCCAAGGCGGGCGCATCACTTGAGGTCAGGAGTTCGAGACCATCCTGGCCAATATGGTGAAACCCCATCTCTACTAAACATACAAAAATTAGTTGAGTATGGTGGCACGTGCCTGTAGTCCCAGCTATTCGGGAGGCTGAGGCAGGAGAATTGCTTGAACCCAGGAGGCGGAGGTTGCGGTGAGCTGAGATGGCACCACTGCACTCCAGCCTGGGTGACAGAGTGAGACTC